ACTAACCACATCATTGACTTTGGGAAGAATCAACTCTAATCTCTTACAGCAAGGAGAAGGGGAAAGGACTACAGGAAATACTGGCTACTGAGGTCCACAAAGATAAAAACACCATTGAAGAGTTGAAGGAAAAACCATGCCAGAAAACTACCACTGCAGAGTGACATCTCATATTTGTTCTTTGTTAGTGAAAATATTACAGAAAGTCAGTTTCCACTTAACTTTACACTTAAATCAGGGAACACAGCGCTATAGTGAAATATAGCGAAATAGTGAAAGGATGTGAGTAGTTCTGTAGTAGTTCTGTATATTTTCCCTTTACATTAAGGTGACACTTGAATTTGCAAAGGCTCACTTATTCCAGTCTCCTCCTTAAAGCTGAATAATATCCATTGCCAGCCTAGGGGAGGTCACTAAGTTACTGCAGAAGAAGCTCTTGGCATCCTTTCGATATTGCAACACAACAGGCAAAGAACCCAGGCAAAGTCACTAGTACTAAGAGCAGCCACAAACTAACACAACACCTTGCACGAAATCGAAGCAAACTAAAATCAATTCAGAATCCCCACTTTTCAGCCAGAAATAAAGGGGTGGCGCAAGCTGATCTGGAAGCTGAACTAATAGACTATCACAACACATTGCCCAGGTTTTAAGAACATTTTTAGAAAGTGATCATATCCATAAAAAAAAAAAAGACAAAACACATGGAGTTAAGAAGGTAAGTATAAAACTAATAACAAGTGAGTAAAAAAATACCTAAAAACAAATCATTAAGTCACAAGTGAAAGTGAAGGGATGAGGCAAGATAATTCCAAAATAAAATAATTACTGGGATAAGGAAAGTTTCTATCATTTATAACAACAACAACAAAAAAGGCAGCCCCAGAACGCTAAGACAGACAGTTTATAATGCAGGTCTTCTGTGACATTATACAGGAAGAGGAGCAGAACAGATATTAGAGTGGTTTTGTTCATGCAGCCTTCAAGATGGGCAAACTTGACCTAGACCTCAACTAAAAGAAAATATCTTTTTAGTATTCCTGCATTCCTAGCCCCAGATAAATCTCTTCCCCCTTTCAAAAAGGGACTTTTTACACTTGTCCATCACAGTCCTTCCAAGCATGGTCAGTGATAAAATGCTGAACGTGTTTCAGTTTGAGTCAACAGCCTTTTGCATTGGGCTCTTGCTCAGCTGCCGCCTGCCTCTGGCCTGGGTAAACCAGCATTTGAGAGCTGACAAGCAAAATTACAGTCCTACAGCAGCCAAACTCCTGCCGTGGGGATTTCCTGCTTCAGTTTCGAAGATGCTGAACACACAAGAATCACCCCAACATTCAAATTATTTGGGAAGAAGCTAAAAAGAAAAAAAAAACACATTTACAAAAAAAAAAAAAAAAAAAAAAAAGAAAAAAGAAAATAATAAAAAAGGTCCTGTGTAAAGGTTTTCACTGTAGTGTTTTTCTCTGCAGTCTTATCAGATTCCAGACAGGAAGAGGGGAACCTTATTAGCTCTTTCTCAAGAAAAACATACTTCATGGGCTTATAAAAGCAAGCATTTCCCTTAAGAACACTCCCTTTTAAAAAATATTTACTTATATGGTTGTCACATTTGCCACCTTAAAGGCTTGTTAAGAGTTACCTAAACCAAACAACAGCCCAAGGATCCTTCCAGAAATACCAGCCTCCCTATGGATTCACCTTACAGGTGCTTCAAGCCTTCATCAGGACACACTCAGGACAAACTACTGCACATTGGTTCATTGGCAAGCAGGGTTTCTCCCTTGTTCTCATCTGCACTTCACAAACCATGGTGAAAACATTTCTAAAGCAGTGAGAAGAGATGCTCTGTAATCCCTGCTGTTAGCCACCCCCTGGGAAGAGGTCTTCTCTCAGCCACACACCCAGCATCTCCCTCTGCCTCTCTGCTACCACATGTCCTTGTCTTCCCCTGTTCTTGGCCTCAGATCTTTCTTGTCACAAAGGGCTGCAAGGTCCAGAGGAAAGAGTTGAGCTGGTCTCAGGGCTGGCCACAATCTGATACTAAGCAAATTAATGCCAGCACCACTGACCTGCACTTCTGGAGAAGTTCCTAGAGCAGCCCATGTGTTCTTATGTGTGACCTATATTCCTGTAGCTATAGATTTTCCCCTCCTAAGTATCCCATGCGTCAAAAACACTTTTTGAGTTACCGTTTACAGGTACAGCACAGTGTTAAATCTGCTTTGTTCCCGATACTTCATTACCCCTATATGGAGTTGGAAGTCATTTATCATGCCAAAACACTGAAAGGCTTCTTAATATTTCATCATGTTGTAGTTCCTCCTCACAAACCTTTTCCTGCTGGAAAATAAGAGTTCTCAGATAGCATTTATCTGATCATGGACCTCCTCTCCAAGGTTTCCTGTGAAAATAATGCAGCCAAATTAAGTTTGGATTGTGCTTCTTCCTGTTCCCCACCCATGCTTGTAA